TGCCCTCTGCTGGAAAGTTGCCAATGGCAACATGACATTGATTCAAAGCACAAAGCAAAATGACCACACAACAGTTGAAGGAGAAAACAGTGAATGTCCTTACATGGCCTAGTCATAGCAATTCTGGCATTCTTAATTCTGGGAGCAGACGGAAGTTGCCTGCACTTTTTCCAGAATACAAAGCTGCTTACTGTATGTAGTACATGTTACTACAGTACACTGCAACACACTCGGCAATCACATCAATGTGTCATGGAAATAGTTACATTGGGCAAACTTGGCCTAAATGAACTTTTAAAGTGAACTGAAAACTGAGATTCTATTTTAACCACTTGCCTACTGGGCACTTATACCCCCTTCGTGCCCAGGTCAGTTTTCGGCTTTCAGTGCTATCGCACTTTGAATGACAATTGCGTGGTCATGCAACACTGTACCCATATGAAATTTTTATCTTTTTTTTCACACAAATAGAGCTTTTCTTTTGGTGGTATTTAATCGCCGCTTGGTGTATTATTTTTTGCGCTATAAACAAAAAAAAAATAGCAAAAAAAAAAAAAGTTTCTTTGTTTCTATTATAAACATGTAAATTTTTTCTCCTTCCTTGATGTGCGTTGATGAGGCTACACTGATAGGCAGCACTGATGATGCTTCACTGATATGCAACAATTATTGGCACTGATGGGTGGCACAGACTGGCGGCACTGATCAGTGCCCTGATGATCGGTGCTGATCCGTCCTCTGACAATTGCCGATTATCAACAGTAATTTCCTCATGCTTTGACAGCGTGAGGAAAGTGTAGCCAATAACCAGCAACTGCATTTACCTGTGATCTGCTGTGTCATTGGACGCCCTCCCAGAACTGGACAACCATGCTGTAGCCGTTATTCAGCTATAGCGCAGTTGGCAAGTGCTTAAAGACTAAGCTAACCTTTTTTTCTAAAGTCTAGCCTACCTACGTTCCAATATACCAATAATGTACTTCTGTTGCAGAAAAGAAAAAGCTTTCTATGTATTTTAGGACAAGGTCTTACCTCAGCCTTCAGCTTGTTCCAAGTTCATTACTTTCTGGCATGTAGATTTAGGACATGAAAACTGTTAAGACAGGAAGTAATTCACATGCAGGCAGTACTACTGAAAACAGATATGTGTCCCTGGAACTCTGTAAAGCTCAGCATACACTGTATCATCTGATTGTACAATCTTCTTTAGATCTACCATCAACTATGTAGTGCCTGGCTGGATACAGCGTGATTGGATAGGTGTGTCCTCCTATTATATAGTTTTGGTAAATCTATAGGAGATTTTACAATCAGATTCAATAGTTTATGGTTACCTTTAAACACCTAAGCTAGACTAGGTGAGCTTTCAATTGTTAATGGCACCCCAAATGCAAACACATTTTGCCGCATGAAAAAACGAGCGTCAAATGCGTCAAAATGCACTGTAAAAAAGTGCAAACCGCAACACTCTAAAATGTCCCATGAGCTACTGTGCACGTGTAGGACATCCCATTGCAATCAAAGAGCTGCTACATCCTTGCCGCTGAAAAAACAAGCAAAAAAAATGTGCGCGCCTACTACGCTAGGTGTGAATGGGGCCTAAAAGTGACATTGGTGTGTTTACACAAGAACAATGAGGCTCAATTCACATCTGTACTTCTTTGAACAGAAAATGTGTGCTTTGCCATGCATTTTGAAAATGTGCTGCAAATGCACGTCGCTTATGTTGCCATTAAATGCTAAAGGCACCAAAGCATGGGTAGGATGCACACATTTGCCATGCTTTTTTTCACACGACAAACATGCTGCAAATACACCAAGAAACAAGGTAAAGAAACGCACCGCCCCAAAAAAAAAAAAAAAAAGGCTTCCTGGAAGCATTTGTCGTGCGTAGGGCAGTCCATTCAAGTGAATGGTCTGCACAATGTGCAATGAGCAAAACACCCCCCAAGAAAATATGTACAGAAACATAAATTTTGGCTATGCAGAGATATGAATGTGGCCTGACAGCTGAGTGTCTGTCCACTCCCTCCTATGCACTTTTGTAAAGGTGGCCATACACTATACAATCTCTGTACAATTTCCTTGAGATTTACCAAAACTGTATAATAGGAGGACACAATTATCCATCCAATTACGTTGTACCCAATTAGACAGGTCCTTACACTACATAGTTGATAGTAAATCTAAAGGAGATTGTACAATGAGATTATTTAGTGGATCATATAGTGTATGGTGAGCTTCCAGAGACACCTCTGTTTCTCAATACTACTGCCTGCATGCGAGTACAGAGGTGGGTGCAATCTCCTGGAGAGGGAGGGCAGGTGCAGGGTGTGCTAATGAGGTTGGCTAGTGAATTACTTCCTGTGTCTTACCGTTTTCATATCCTAAATCTACATACCAGAAAGTCTTGGAGGAGTTTTCTATGGAACAAGGTGGAGGCTGAGATAAGGCCTTATTCTTTGTTCTAAAATACATATAAAGCTTTTTCTTTTCTACAACAAAAGTAGATTATTGGTATATTGGCACACAGGGAAGCTGGAATGTAGGAGGGGGAAGGAAGCATGGTCAGTGTTTGCATCCCCCAAACTTCAAACCGCATCCCTGCCTCATACAGGAGCCAGGGGTCCTTCTCTGCACCAGCTCCTGTCAAGTTTGAAAATGGTGCTAATGTGTTGGCCACACAGCATCATCTGTATTGCCACGTCACAGGGAATTGTATTTCTCAATGGAATACATGTGTTGCGACTTCACTGCATTCATAGTCCATTTACACTTCCTGCAGTCTTGCAAATGAAGGTTCAAAGAGTTTGTAGGAGCCTGATCACTGTTTGGATTACAGATACAATGCTTTTCAGACTACATAGCTACAGATATTATTCAGGTTGAAAAAAAGTCCATCTAGTTCAACCAATGGAAGGGAAAAAAAAAAAAAAAGCACACAACAATAAAGCATGATCCAATTGGCTCAATGGGGGGGGAGGAATTCCATTCTGATCCCCCAGAAGGCACTTACATATTCCCTGGATCAACAATCTCTGGTGTTATTACCTATAAATGTTATTATCCAGTTATATTATGTACATTGAGGAATTCAACAAGCTCTTTTTAAGACAGTCTACTGAGCTGGATAGAACTAGTTCTTGAAGGAGTTTATTCCACATTTTCACTGCTCTTACTGTGAAGAAGCCTTTTCATATATGGAGGTTAAAGCGGAGCTCCACCCAAAAGGAGAAGTTCCGCTTTAAGCCTTTGTCCCATGCTCCCCATTAAGGAGTGGCACCCTTGGGGAGCAGGTACCCAAATTTGACAGGTACCCACTTCCGCTGCGATCGCCTAGGTGATCGGATGTTGTTCTCCCCCTCCCTCCCAGTAGTCTTCTGGGACACGTACAGGTCCCAGAAGACTACGGGACCATTCACAAAGCGCAGCGCTTCTCACACATGCCCAGTGGGCATCTAGCTGTGAAGCCGCAAGCTGTCACACCCAGGTGCCCACACTGAAGATGCCGGCGCCAGGGAGAAGACACCACTAGACCGAGAGACAGGAAAGTGTCTGTTGTCTGTATTTTAAAAGTCAGGAGCTACAGTTTGTGTAGCTGCTTTCCTTTCTTTTTCCAGGTGGAACTCCGCTTTAAATCTCTTTTCCTCCATACCTAAAGAAAATCAAACGAATATTCTTGAATGAAAATCTATATCTTCTGTAATCACTTAAAGTAAATAACTCAACACCAAGTTCATTATATGGACCACTTACGTATTTATGGTGATCATATCCCAGGGGCGGACTGACAACTCATGGGGCCCCAGTTTCCTTGCCCACACTCAAAGCACACAAAAAAAAACAAAAAAACCCAAAAAGGTACCTGGGGCATTTCATGGGGCCCCCTACTGACCCCGGCCAGTGCCCGAGTGCTCGAATGGTCAGTCCACCCCTGTCATATCCTCTCATCTCCTCTTTTTAAGAGAGAATATACAGTATTCAGTTCCTCTAATCTTTCCTCATAGCTGAGCTCCTCCATGCCTCTTATCAGTTTGGTTGCCCTTCTCTGCACGTTCTCCAATATATTTGTTGTGAACTGGTACCCAAAACGCTTACTAATAATTTGTTCACAAGCAAAATTTATGTCTCTCTCTCTGCAGTCCATACCTCTTATAATAGAAGAAAGTATTTTGCTAGCTTTACAAACTGCAGCAATTTTTAAAGCTTGTGATCTACCAGAACAACCCAGATCCTTCTCATTCATTGCTTTTCCAAGTTGTACTCCCCCTAGTCTGTATGATGCGTGCATGTTTTTAGCTCCTTTACATTTATCAACATTAATGCTGGCCATACACATATAGAATTTCGTTCAAGAATATTCGTTTGATTTTCTAATCATTAGTGGGGTCAAATCGATGTTCGTTTTCGACAGCAGTGATGGGAAAATTCAAAGGGGCAGGAGGGAAAACTTCTCGATCAAACACATTTTCGGCCAGTGTATGTGGTTATCGTTCAGAAATTACACTCATTTTAAAATCAAATGTTAAAAGCAAAAAAGACAATTTTCAAATGACATTTGTCCATTCTTCGAATGTTCAAAGAATTTTCGTACGACTTTTCTTACAAATATTCCTGTCCGAAAATCTACCCGGGTATGGCCAGCTTAAGGGTGGATTCAAACATTGTGCGGTGACAGGTGTTTTACTGCATTGTAGAAATTTTTTTCAAAGACGTAATAGAATACATTTTGGCCAAACGTTATGAAGAAATTTGATATTTCATTTATTGGTCATGTTTTATAGCAAAAAGTAAAAAAAATAATATATATATATATATATATATATATATATATATATAAACCCGGTGGTGATCAAATACCACCAAAAGAAAGTTCTATTTGCATGAAAAACATGATATAAATTTTGTTTGGGTACAGTGTTGCATGACCAAAAAATAGCCTGGTCACGAAGGGGGTAAAATCTTCCAGAGCTCAAGTGGTTAAGGGACATGGCACTCACCATCACCTGCTGTATACATCTTGTCCTCATATGGAGTCTGTGTGTATTCCAGCAGCATCCGGATCGAATGAGCCAACTATACAGTGTAATAAAGAAAGGAGAAGGTGAACCAACTGCTCAGAACTTCCTTACCCGCCTTCTCTCCTTCAATCCTCAGCCTCTCTCACCCCTCGGATATCCCAATAGCCCAGAATCATCATATTGAAGTTCTCTCTGCTCTGCACAGTCACACACTGAACCTTCCAAGCACTCCCTGGCCAGGAACCTGAAGGTCATGTGATGTGTAAGGTTTCACCCAATAAGCACCTGCCATTCTCCAGCACACCCCCTCCCTGCTCAGCTGTAGAGAAAGGCAGAGAAAGTTTCTGTCCCAGTGCCAATAGGTCAGATGACTTGTCTATAGACTTTTACTGAGAGGAGAGGAGAGCTGAGAGTGAATGAGGGGCAGAGGGATCTGCTCTCAGAAGAGAGACAGTCTCAGTAAATGAGGGAACTATGTGTGATATGAATAATTATGATATGATGTGTTGACGTTATAGTCTGATGTGTACAAAATGTACTTCTTTACTAGTTTTTTCAGGCAGACCTGTTCAATTCATGCATTCCTATGGAGAGGTAGGTGTAAACGCACTTGTGTCCGTTTACACCCACATACCTCCAGATCCAATCCAATCTGCTAAAAAAAAAATAACAGAAGGGGATCTGTCCTCCTCTATCTAGATGGAGCAAATCAGAGTCTGTTTACACCATCCAGTCCATAGAGCATAGGGGGCTCTGTCCATGTACGCTCTACAGAAACTGAGCGGACACGGACCTGTCATCCACCAGCTCTGCACCAATCAGCAGGGAATCTGTGAACAGATCCTTTGCTAATCTAACCATGGCTGGATCTTGTCTATTTGATTTGGGGGTAGAGTAGAGCAAAAAATGTCAGGGGGCATAAAGTCAAAAGTGTGACAGGGATGCATGGAAACAGTATGTCCCACTTCTGTACCAGAGTTACAACCTGGAAGTAACAGGTAGTGTAGAGAATGTGTTGGAGTGAGCAGAGAATGCTAGTGTGTATTAGGCTGTGTGAGGGATTAGCTCAGTAGCGGGTTGTGCTTGACCCCCCTGGATGGATCAGAACATGGTGAAAGAGGCTCAGCACAACAGCAGGTACTTGGTGAATAAGGTTGTACTTTATTTACAAAGTCTGGTGAACACACGGTACATAAATCCAAAAACAGCAAAACAAATAAAAACAGAAAATAAAGCCTTGCCACACTGGGCTACTAACTACAAATACAGGTTTCCTATCTAGCTGTCTGAATACAGCCTACCACTGCACAGACACTGGGTGTTCACACAGTCCAAGATCACACAGATTCGTTCTCATCACAAGATGGTTTGGTTGCTCCCCAGTCTGTCCTGCACAGCCTCCTGGTTGGAGCATTCTCTCTATGCAGCCTGGGAGTTTTATAGAGCCCAGAGCCCTTAACTGACTACACCTGAACTGTAGACAGGCTCACTACACAGCACTAAAGGAGAAACAGTCAGTATATAACATGAACCTGGGACAAATATACCTCCCATCCTGGACACATCCCTTAGTTCTACCTGACCTCCTGTCACAGCTGTCATTAGATTGGGATGATTGAACATAGTCTGTGCCTTCTTATATCAGGTGTCCATAACATAGTCCCTCCTCAGAGTGCCCCTTAGATCAATGGCCTCTTTAGAGTACCCCCCTAACATCAACTATCCCCATCAGAGTGCCCCTTTACATCAACTGTCCCCATCAGAGTACCCCTTTAGATCAACTGTCCCCATCAGAGTGTCCACTTACATCATCTGACCTCATCAGAGTGCCCCCTTACATCATCTTTCCTTATCAGAGTGCCCCCTTACATCATCTGTCTTCATCAGTGTGCTTTTTTACATCAACTGTCCCCATCAGAGTACCCCTTTAGATTAACTGTCCCCATCAGAGTGTCCCCTTACATAATCTGACCTCATCAGAGTGCCCCCTTACATCATCTGTCCTTATTAGAGTGCCCCCTTACATCATCTGTCCTCATCAGTGTGCCCCTTTACATCAACTGTCCCCATCAGAGTGCCCATTTACATCAACTGTCCCCATCAGAGTGCCCCTTTACATCAACTGTCCCCATCAGAGTGCCCCTTTACATCAACTGTGCCCTTCAGAGTGCCATCTTACATCAAATGTCCCATCAAATCTCATAGAGAGAAGAGATATGGGGGAGCACAACTAAAATCTGGGGGGCATATCATAGACCTCCTCGGATTGCACTGCATACGTTATACATTTTTAACATTTAGGGTGCACTCAATAGCACAGAATATTTTACAATCTAGAGTATTGGGGGTGATACAGCAGGAAAAGAATTTAAAGAAGTATTAACCCCGAAAGCAAATATTTATTATATTGCAGCTTACCAATTATTAAATGTGGTGGTTGCATTAGTTTTCTTTTTTCCTTTATTTTCACCTGGTGATCCAGCCAGCCACCAGTGACACAGCGCGCGCAGACACCAACTGCTATATCATGTGTAATATTTTGGATGAAGTGGTGGGAAAGGATAGTATAGTTTTAATACACAGGATATAACTGGATACTAACATTTATAGGTAAAGTTTGATCCAGGGAATATCCAATTGCCTCTCGGAGGATCAGGAAGGAAATTTTTTCCTCCCTGTGGGAGCAAATTGGATCATACTTTGCTGGGGTTTTTTTTGCCTTCCTCTGGATCAACTGTGGGTATAGGATTATAACTTTTTTTTTTTTTTTTTTTTTAATGGTTGAACTGGATGGACTTTTGTCTTTTTTCAGCCAGACTAACTATGTAACTATACAGTAGACCTGAGATGTAGAAGATGTGCCCAAAATAGGCCAGCAGAGGGACAAAAGACATCATCAGTATTGACTGTGGTCTCCCTGTAGCTGTTTTTTTTCCTATTATTGACTTTCCATGATTTGTTCAACATTGTATCTCCATTTGACAATGGCCACCTTGGTAGGAGAGCAGGGCTTTGCTTCCTCATGTCAGAGCTCATGGTGATCTGATGACAGAGGATGATGGCGGAATAATAAACCAGCAACAGAAGAGGTTCGGAAAGCACAGATCCACAGAATGAATGAAGCAGAATTAGGGAGATGATTTTCTGCAAGTCCTTGGGTGCAGGTTTCTCTTCCACAAGGAAGACAGTAAGCAGCACGTTCGTGACCTCACCAAACTGCACTCCAACTTTTATAAGACTAGAATTCAGAGGTGCAGTGCCTTAGATGATCTCACACTGCAGATTTACAGCTCTGAGGTTTAAGGAGCAGGAAGTACACTTCTATATTTCAAGAGGAATTCAAGGCAAAATTCTGCTTGTACTGCACAATGAAGATTTTCCCTATTTCAGCAGCAAATATACTTTTCAAATGGGCAGCACAGTGGCTAAATAGTTAGCACTTCTGCCTGGCAGTACTTTGGTTGTTGGTTCGAATCCAAACCATGGCACCACCTGCCTGGAGTTTACCTTCCTCCTGGCAGCAGTGTTTTTACAGAAATAAGGCCAGACACTTATAAAGGTATCTAACATTTTTACAAGCGCTTAGGTGCATTTACAAGTGTCAAGATCTTGGGCGTTAATTCATTTAATTGGCCAGAATGATAGTTTATTCTGGTCAATGAAATTCATTTAATTGGCCAGAATGATAGTCCACCGCATTATTTATTAAATGTTCAAGCACTAAATGCGCCTAGTATTTAGGCGCGTTTAGCTGTGTCAATCGTTTTTTCGGCCAAAACGCTGCTGCTCCTGGATGCACTGGCCCTGGGTTTTTCCTCTGCTGGTAAATGCCACTGCTACTAAAGGCTTCTAAATGTCTATGTGTGCATGGAGACATAGGATAACATGGAGGGGCCACTTGGAAGTAGCCAAAAAAAAATGCCTGATGCCCCTAAAAGTGGTTGCAAAAACGTCCTGTGTGCATGAGGCCTAAATCTAAAACTCCCTCCTTGCTGTGCTCATTTATGTCTAAGGATTGGTAAATGCCTAGACGTAAACAAGCAGTTTTAGTTTTTTGTTCAGCTTTAAAGGATAAGTTCACCTTTATGGAAAGCATTGCACCTGTGGGATTATGGACGCAATTTGGCCTCCTGCAAGCACGTCCTCTGGTTGTCAGCCTGTACTTCTGTACAGGCTTTCTGTTTAAGGCTTGGTTCATATATGTGCGGGTAGTGTCACTGCGGATCTGCACCAAAATCCATGCACCACCCGCACAGAGGAATGCGGACCCACGAGCGGGTGCCGTTACTTCTGATGGCACGCCACCCGAACTGGAAAACGCAACCGTACTGGGAACCGAGGTTCCCGCGCAGGCTGCATTTTCAGAAGAAGTGCAGGGACTTCTTCCCTGCGTGTCACGGGGCACGGGAATCCATTCAAATGAATGGGCTCTCCTGCCCGCGCAAAACGCAGCCCTAACAGCCACATATATGTGAACCAAGGGCTTCTTAAAGCCAAAGGAGCTGTCAGTGGACTACAAGAGTGCTCATCAGCGCCCCCACAGCCCATTGAAAATACAAGTCCATCTGCTGCAGTGGAAGATGGTACTTGTAGTTTATTCATTCGCATTCATCAATCTGTGAATGAATGTCTGTGTGGGTTGAGCCCTGCACAGCCACACTCTTTTTAAAAATGTTACAGCAGGTGCAGGGAGAAGAGCCCCCACCTGCTGTCACAGGGAGGGGGGGAGCTGGAACATGTAACATGTTCCACCCTGAATACAGGTGAACTTAGCCTTTTAGCAGGCTGTTACAGTGAGGCAAAAAAGTATTTAGTCAGCCACCAATTGTGCAAGTTCTCCCACTTAAAAAGATGTGAGAGGCCTGTAATTGGCATCATAGGTAGACCTCAACTATGAGAGACAAAATGAGAAAAAAAAATCCAGACAATCACATTGGCTGATTTGGAAAGAATTTATTTGCAAATTATGTTGGAAAATAAGTATTTGGTCAATATCAAAAGTTCATCTCAATACTTTGTTATATATCCTTTGTTGGCAATGAGGTCACTGTAAG